GAGAGCCTGTGACTCCACCTGTAGAAACGACCTAGAATACGCGCAGGAACAGAAAGCAGAACAGTGGCCGCCAGGGACTGAGCAGGGAAGAAATGACTCCTTCATGTGTGGCAGGTTTCATTTGGGGTGTAAAAATGCTCTGGGGCAGGCCCCACAGTGCAGTGGCTAAGCCCTCTACATAGGTAGCCAGATCCCGCAGCCAACACCATCGGAGCCCTAGCCCCGGTGGCTTGAAAAACACGCCAGGCATGGGTGTGTGCATGTCCAAAGTCCTGATGGGATGGGGAAACGGAGGACAGAGGGCTGTGGCATGAACACGTCCCATTCCGGGGCGAGCACAAGAGCCCGCTGGAAATTAGAAAGTAAACGCTCTGGAACCAGACAAAGGTGATGTCTACACAAGACAGCGATATGGACCCATTAAATGTCTCTTACCGTAGATTTTGTTATATGCACCAAGCCGCATAGAAGCAACAGGGTTTGACAAACATTCTTTAAACCTTATGTATTACTTTTTATAGTCAAAGAAAACAAACAGGCTTTACCTGAGTAACTAAATGATGAAGTAAAGTTTTAATCACCGGAACGCCGTGTAGACTTTGAAGAGCATAAACACGACCTGCAAGTATCAATGGGAAAGGACATGTGATATAGATTCAGTAAAAACCCAGAAGGCAGCAGATCAGCATCCATGGTATGAGTTACATCGGGTCATGTTACAAAGCACATGCCTGGAGCCAGCAGGTGGCGTGGAGGTTAAGGCACTGGATCCGCACATGGCTGACGGCAGTTTGAGTCCTGGACTTCGCGGCTTGCTTTCTCACTTTCTCTCCGTCTCTCTCTGGTGAGTACACATGCCCTGTAGCAAACTAAATAATAAAAATAATAACCAAATAATGATGATAAATAAATAAAATGATGATAAACAAAATAAAACAAAAAAGCACACGCCCATGTGCACCTTTACACGTGTCTAGAAAATGACTGACTGAAAGGTTAGCACCAAAAAAAAAAAAAAAGATACTGAGATCAGCAGATGACGTAGTTTCCGACGCTGGACCCCCACATGGTCGACCGCAGTTCAAGTCCTGGACCTCTGCTGCGCTGTGTGTGGGTGTGTGTGTGTGTGCGCGCGCATGCCCAAAATTCTGAGAGGAGAATGGAGAAGGGATTGCTGCATGGCCAATCCCCCGGGGAGGTGGGGATTTCTTGCTTTCTGTCTCTTTGTCACTCTCTGGCTCTCCAGCCCTATAGCAAAAACTTCCCTCTCTAAAAAAAGAGATGACATCAGTGGTTATCTCTGGGGTGGACAGGATGGGGGCCAGGGAATGGTTCCTTCCACTTTAACTTCATATCCGTCTACATTGTGTGGACGTAGAATATAGAGCACATTGGGGTTTTGGTTAACTTCAGAGCTCACATTGAGATCCGACAGTCAGAAAATCCCAACCTGCTCCGCCCTACGGTGTAAGAAACATAGAATCTAGAAAATGGGAGGCAATGAGCAGACCTGAATATCAGACGTTATTGGCTTTGGGGCCAGCAGGTGGCGTGGTGGTTGGGGAGCTGGACTTCCACATGGCTGACTGTGTTACAAGTCCTGGAACTGGAGACTTGCTTTCTCACTTTCTCTCTCTCGCTCTCTCTCTGGTGAGCACCCTTGCCCTGTAGCACATTTTAAAATAATAATGATAAATAAAATTAAATAAATAATTCTCTTAAAGAAAAAAGAACTTTATTGGCTTCTTAACCCTTATGAGTTAAGCTTGACTTGTCACTTTCTCGGAGTGAAAACTCTTCGGTGCCTTGAACAATGGCTTCAGGGGTCGGTGCCTTCTACAATGGCTTCAGGTGCTCAAAGGGACACCGCAGTTCTGTGGCAGGCGGCCTAACGCACCATGGTGATGCTCAGTGTCACCAGAGTCCCCACTAACACGGGAGGCATATGCTGTTTTGAGCTTTTGTTCAACCTTTCTCCTTAAACTGTCAAAGAACGTCTTTGAAAATTAAATGAATATAGGAATATATGATAATATTACGAAAATCCAGCCACAAGTCTGAACTCTTAAAAAAAATTATTTTATTGATCCTTTACCATACAAAATTTATTCAAATTACACCCATTTGAAGTGGTAAGATCACAGCTAGAGAACAGGTCACCCTGTAACAAATCTATTTACAAAATCCATCATAAAAGCTTTTTTTGTTGTTTTGTTTTGTTTTTTTACATTATATTACATCTTTTACTTTTTTTAAACTAGCATACAACACAAAGCTAAACTGATTAGTAGTTTGCCTACTCCCAATGCAGGGAGAAATACTTTCTTTTTACAAAATCACGTACCCCATAGGAAAAGGAATCCTCACACCCAGACAAGTGCCACCCTACTCACTCTGCAAGGCTTCTTCCTCAGAGCCCTCCTCCTCACACACGCCAGTTGTCATGCACACACGGAGTTCTTACTCGCTTTTTCCTGAAAGCTAAAGCTTTAAATACTGCAATTTTATTTACAGATCTACACGGACAACAAAGATGAAAAACAAGAACCACGACAAAAACCAAAAACAACATAACACTCTTAAAAAATTACAAACCAGCTAGAAAATATTCTGGCAGTGTTTACAAATTAATTGCTCTATTTTTTTTTCTTCTTTTTGTACAAAATTGCTAAATAATGACATTGTGAGTAGACTACGGATCAACTTAAATAAAAGGACTGCTATGCACAACCCTGCACATATAAACACACCCCTAACACTGTTTGACAGTTCACGTGTTGCCCTTTATACATTTTATTTTCTAAGGCTCACGCAATCAGAATTCGCACCTCGGTAACGGTTAGTCATTTCATGTGTGAGCTTTGATAGCAGCAACTCAATGGAACCAGGGGACCTGCAGACGTGGTGCTCAGAGCGGCCCGCGTGCTGCAGCGTCCACCCACCTGGTGTGCCAGAGCAGGCCGACGAGGGAACCGCTGGTGTTTTTTTTTAGTATGTATGTCTCGTCTACGGACCTGGGGCTGGCCTGTGAACCGGGAAAACCTTTATGCGTGAAATAACTCTTAAGACTTATTCGTACTCCTTTCATGTTGAAAACAATAAATACGGCAGGACGTGACGAAAAGTTTCAACAAGAAATTCGACAGAACACACGACAACCCAGCCAGGTGAGCTCAGCCTCGAGACTTTGGAAGAAGTGGCCTTTGTGTGGCGGGCGGAGAGAAGGACGCCAGGCCGGAAGCAGAGGCAGCTAACCAGATGAGAGGACTATGGGGAAATGGGGAAGCTTGGCATACACGGTTTCCCAGGCGGGAAAACGCCCCACAGTGCATTTCCAGTAGGCACTTAACACAGAGCTCCCCGCCCCACCCCAGGGCGTCATCTCCCCCCCCCAAGGGCGTCATCTAGGACCACGGGGATATTTGTACCAAGTCCAGTGTGTGTGAGGCAGGGAGGCTAGGGGGTAGAGGCCGAAGAAGAAAAAGGAAGATAGTTTTGCACCTTGGCTTCTCTTCCAAACACACACCCACGCATCACCCACACGCATCGTTTAAAGTGCTGGTGTCTCGCTCGACCCCACCACTTTGCATATTGTGGAACTCTTCCTAGAGTAAACTGGCAGGGGCTCTTGTGGTTTTCGTTTTTGCTGTTTCCTAAGAGATCGCTTCGATCCAATTCAACACAGATGACTGAGTGCCTACTACGCGCCTCCCGCCGGGTCAGGCACTGAGCATTTCAATTTAACTGTTCGTCTTGAGGTTTGTTTTCTGTGGGAAGCCCTCATCCCCACCATCCTTGGCACGCCAGGAATGGGTATGAGGCACCTTGCCACCAGCCCAGTGGGAGGTGGCCGTGGCCACCTGCCCCCAGGC